GGTGGTGCTCTCTATTCGGTTCTCCGGAAGTTATAAAGGGAGGACACATGGGAACGCTCAGTTATCCCTTGTGGAGGCGGGGTCGATTTCCTCCACCGTAGCCCAACGAGTCTTAGGAGGCAACAAAAAGGAAGTCTCGAATCTGAGACAGTAAAATATAGTCGCGAGTCCCACGGAACTCGGACCCGAGACTGACTGCGCTGGTGAGGGCCAGCAGCAATCGTAAACGACAGGCCTGGCCTCTGGTCAGAGAGACCGCCCCACATCAACAAACCCACAACTATATGACTGTAATGAAAACCTGGCCGTAAGCCCCAGATGGGTGCTGTCCCGCCTGGGAATTAGCGGCAGACACCTCCTAAAATTGCAGCGCATGCAGAACAAGGTTTTGCGCACCATTGGAAATTTTCCAAGGTGCACACCAGTCCGCGACTTGCACACAGCTTTCAACTTTCCGTATATATATATATACGATTATATAACACAGTTGTGGAGACGACAGGCAGAAGTTATATAAAATCATGAGAATGAACATGTTCGCGGTATAGGACAAGGTGAAGCCAGACACATGAAACATAAGAGGCTTAAACTTGGCGGTGGTCAAGCTTACGACCGTTCAAATGACTGAGTTGTCGTTGTAGCATAAGTTATGTAGGTTAGGCATGATCCGCTCTGTAAAGCCTGTACTGACAGAGAACTTGTGAGTATCCCATTTAGAACCCGTTATTACTGACGGAACGTAATGCAAGTAACTATTACGAAGTTGTAAAACTATTTTTAGTTAAAATAAAATCTGCTCATTGTTATGAAGTTAACTTAAATTCGGTATCGTATCTTGGGTTGCTCTCTGACACAGATGTAATATCGCTGAAACCTGGGTGACTGTTCCAGGAATTGTGATCGACCTCAGAAAATTCGTATGAAATATGAATAAATAAATAAAAGTAAATAAGTATTCAAACAGGCCCTCATCTGAGACTGCACCCATACAAATGTTGAGTGGCGCGGTAGGCTAGGCCACAGCGTTAGAACTTCGCTTGTCTACGTTCCTTCATCGGAGGACCCCCACAGCGTAGATTGACGGTTTGACATTTCTCAGCAGTGTACAGGCATGGGAATTGATTTTATAATCATTTCAATAAGCAGTTGTTATTTGCTGGCGTACAATAGAGATGGACACAAACTGATAACCACTGAAGATGGGTTATAGGTTACTGAGAGAGGACACGAAAACTACGCAGAGAGAAAGGATGGGCAAAGCGGTGGCTTTTCTGTCCTTTAGTGACGGCTCCTGTCTAATCCTTTCTATTCTACGCAAAGGATAACTCTTTTAGAACATTTTCCTGTCTGGTTTTAATTTATGTGGTGTTTGATGTCAGAGAAACATCTGCCATTTCAGAAATTAAACATATTTATGACTCTTAAAGCTAAACAGAAGGTAAAGCTATCCATGTAACTGGCCTTGAAGGCCCATAGGGTTGTGAGACATCGAGGCTCGAACATTGTCTACACAGTCTGCTCACAGATGGCGGTAAGGTTGTCAGCCTTACGCGCCGGCCGCCCTTTACTCCCCAGGAAGATTCTGGTACTCATTTCTGTTAGAGGCTGAGTCGATCCCAGGGCCATAATGCGGCTGGAAGAATTAGGTAAATTGAAAATCCCAATGACCTCATCGGGAATCGAACCCGCGACCTTCTGACCTGCAGCATAGTGTCTCAATCAACTACGTTAGCGTGTGCACCGTGTTTATGGATCTTCATTATTATAAATGATAAGTAAGCACGAGAGTATGTTACTAACACAGGGTGACTTGCTATAATACGTAATAGCATTGGAAGTGTTATTTTGAGTCGATGTTTGGCGGTATGGCGTCACATCCAGACAGCGTCAACTGTAATATTCCCCGAAGTATCCCATATTCCATGATCTAATTTGAGGGAAGTTTGTGTCTGTGTATGGTCATGTAACGAGGAAAGTTTTTTATAACAGTAACGTAGCGTAATTGATCTGTAGGCCTGTAGCCATTTTATGTAATGTAATGATATATTCTGTAATTCAGATGTTATGGACATTTTCATGTATATTATTTTTCTTATTGCTAGTGGGTTGGGACTAAGTCCCTTGTACTGCAGCCACTTCTGGCCTATTGTACCGGCCCCAGATGATAGGTGAGGGTCATTGTGGAGCAGTTGGTGGAATGAAGATTGGCAGGGGAAACCGAAGTACTCGGAGAAACCCTGCCCCAGCGCCACTTTGTCCACCACAAATCCCACTTGACCAGACCCGGGATCGAACCCGGGCCGCCGCGGTGGGAAGCCAGCGACTACCCGCTTGAACTATGGCGCGGCCTTTATGTATATTATCCTACCACCTAATGAGATAAATCGGGCGGTGAGAAATTTGTATGCTTTCTTTGCTCAAATTGTATAAAGTGAACGCAATGTGGATATTTCGTGTCCGTCCGCCATGTTTAATCTCTGAAACTGTTCCAACGGGTTTCTATTAAATATCCCACCCATTGGAGTTTACGCTAAAGAAGTTGAGAGAACTTAATTTACCTGCTGTCGGTTTAGTATAACTTTTTTTTAAATTAAAGTCAAAATCAGACGTTTAGCAATTTCATTTGAAGAGGTATGTTGCACGATAAATTGATACATAACATTATATATCGAGGCCTATGCAATAGATACAATAACCGTTCGTCGCCTTGCTTTTTTTCTGACGGACCAGCTACTGAAATAATGAAATTGCTTGTCTCTTATATTACACGTCTGTATCTCTTTATCTTTATCAAGATCCTAATGCTTACACTTGCGTATATCGATAGATTAATCTTTAGCAAGCTTTATAAGCCGGTCACGGTAGCCAAGCGGTCTAAGGTTTGTACTGTCTTCGCTCGCTCGCATGTCGGGATCGTGAGTTCGAATCCCACACAGGGCATGGATGTTTGATGTGTGTGCGCTTATTCTGTGTTTATGTTTTCCTGTATTTAGAGAGAGGCCTTGCGACGAGCTGATCACCCGCCCAAGGAGTCCTACCGTCTGTAAAATGATCATGAAACTGAGAAATCAGCCCTGTGCTTCACAGTGGGAGCGAGAGCTTTATTAGATTAATGTTTAATAAGCTTCGGTAAATAGTATAGACAACGATATGGCGCTTTATCCCCTTGCGTCACGAAACAAAGGCTCAATTCTTCTGATTTTCATTAAATTTAGGTCACAAATTTGTATTAGTTATTATATGTTGCCGTGGCTCTGCATGCGGATAAGTCTTGGAACTGCAGAATGTATCGTTTTATGCATTAAATCGCGTAAGGCTACTTTTCGACGAAACATTGGTGAACATAACATGGCTTTATGCATTATATAGTTGAGACGAGGAAGATAGGGGGGCACACGGTAGCGTAGTTGGTTGATGCACTATACTACAACCCGGCAGGTCGCGGGTTCGAGTCCTAATCCTTCCAGCCGTACTATGGCTCAGGGGTCGAATCAGCCTCTTAACAGAAATGAGTACCAGGAATCTTCCTGGGGGTAAAGGGCGGGCAGCGTATGTCTGACAACCTTACCGCTATCTGTGAGCCGCTTGTCTAGACAGTGTGGGACCTATGGGCCTCCACGGCCTGGTACAGGGATTGCTTTGCCTTTTGTTTACGTTTTAAATGGGAAAGACCGTGGAAGGAAGGAAGGAAAGAAAATTGTGAACGTAAGGAAAATCGTATGGAAGGAAGGAAGGAAGGAAAGAAAATGGTGAACGTAAGGAAAATCGTATGGAAGGAAGGAAGGAAGGAGACTGGGGGAACAAAAAAGTTACAGTGTAGATTTAAGCTCTGATACTTCTCCTTGGAACATGTTTCAAACTAATACACATTCCCCTTTATCGTCTTTGCAGAAAGTGGTGTTGTATATGAATTAAATGAACGTGAATGACAGTGACATATGCAAAATAACGAAGACCGTCATTGAAATACATTTCCTTGGGCACAACTTTGCATTCTTGTTTAGTTAATCCTTATTGACCTGCACACCCAGCGAGTTGTCTCAACGGTAGCGCCTGTGATTTGTATTCTGGAGGTGTCTCGCTCGATTCTCGGTCCGGACACCAACTGTTCGGACGCGTATATTCTGTAGCTTTCCTCAAATTAGCTCACTTCCGCTTCCTTCCACATCCCTTCCAATTCATTCACTTCTCATTCTATCATTTGACCTGTGTGACTGGCGGCGTTACTGAACAACAAACAGAAAAATAAACACTGTTTATATAATGATGTATGGGAACGGAGACCGCCTCTATGGTCTAGGGGTCACAGTTCCTGGCTACAGATCCAGAGGTACCGGGTTCGATTCCCGGCGCTACCAGATTTTATGAGAAGTAGTGGGTCTGGAACGGGGTCCTCTCAGCGCCGTGAGGATAATTGAGGAACTACTTGAATGGGAAAGTAGCGGCTCCTGTCTAGAAAACCGAAATTAACTGCCGTGGGGATCCGTTGCGCTGACCACGTGACACCCTCTATCCGCTAAAGTTGGCACTAAGTTCGACGACAGGCGACGGTCGCTTGGTCGGTATAGTTCCCTTGCGGACTAAGGGCCACGGAAGTTTTGTGTTTCTGATTTAGCTACAAATCAACCTTTTCTTCTCCAGTTCAAGGATTAGGCCGATGGCCTGTTTCGGCTTCTGCATGGTCCACCAGGATATCTTCTTCCTTTGGGCCTTTACCAACAGCCTTCTTCGACACCCCTTTTTGTTTTCCATCCTTCCACATGCTCAAGCAGTGCTATTCTTCCTTACATCTTCGTTCCTAGTTGTAACCAGTCTTGTATATGTATTTACAGAGCTTAGGGATGACATGTTTGCTGTTCGGAATTTTTTGCATGCCTCTGCAAAGTAACGTAAGTTAAGTATAAATGTAATATATTTGTGTTAGAATAATGAGCATGTTTCATATCTAAGTGTGTCAGAGATGATGGTCCTCATATTTATTTATCGTTGTGTTTTTGCAGGGTGTGGATGACTATGACTCGGCTTCCGTCACAACGGTGAGTGTCCTCTCCTACAGTATCAGGCAATAGCTCCCACTTGACTACCTTTCTGTCTGCCTACATTTGTTTATGCTATTTTATGAGCTATGGGCGGACAGACCCTCCATTGTTTACTGCCATAATACTTTTTTCCTCTGTGTTCTTTGTATTAAACGCAAGAGCCACTGAAGTGGACGTAAGCGAATGCAATTATAGTTAATTTCATTTTTCAGTAACATTGTTGATTTGTGACGTCTTAAGATGGTAAGAATGTGTTGTTTTCATTCGTCAGTGTTAATTGGTTAATTGGTAGTATATTAATTAATATTTTAACACTTTTATGGGACGCGCCATACCTCAAGCGGTTAGTCGCTGGCTTCCCACCGCGGCGGTCCGGGTTCGATCCCGGGGTCTAGTCAAGTGGGATTTGTGGTGGACAAAGTGGCGCTGGGGCAGGTTTTCTCCGAGTACTTCGGTATCCCCTGCCAATCTTCATTCCACCAATTGCTCCACAATCACCCTCACCTATCATCTGGGGCCGGTACAATAGGCCAGAAGTGGCCGCAGTGCAAGGGACTTAGTCCCACCCCACTAGCAATAAAAAATGATAACTAATTAAAAGTTCTCAATGCCAATTTTTTCAAATTTAAGTTTTAAAGTACAGAAAGGAGAAGAATGCCGTTTAAAATAAAAAAAAAGCATATGCACACTGGCATTGACTTAAGCAGTTGTGGAGTAAAGAAAATAAGATAAGGATGATAAGAAGATAAGAAGAATGATGATGATGATGATAATGACAATAAAATATAAGGAGTAAAAAGTTATAAAATTGTCATTTTGTGGACCTTCGGAAGCAAGCCATCATTTCGTGGAAAGTCACTGCATTTTTAAAGAAAATCTGAAGTTATCAACCCTACCTGAAATTCTCTTATGATTCCGCCCGAATGGGGCGCAATTCACACGTTAAGAACCAGGGGTTTGTACATTTTATCGGGGATTTTATACTTTCATGTAGTCTGGGAATTGAAAGTTAATTTAACTCGGATGCGTGATGGGGTTATTTCCAAATAATTAATTGTTAAAACAAATTTTCTTGACTAGCTTAGCGACTGTTGTCTTCTGAAGAAGACTTCTGCTTCATGGAATAACCCTCGTTATAACGCACTAATGGGGGGGGCTATTATCGCGATGTCCGCTATAACCTAGTGGTCTAGTGATCAGAGTTTCTGACTACAGTTCCAGAGATCCGGGTTCGATTCCCGCCGCTACCAATTTTTTTGAGAAGTAGTGGATCTGGAACGGGGTCCACTCAGGCTCTTGAGGGTAACTGAGGAGCTGTTTCAAGGAAATAGCCGCTCCGGCCTAGAAAACCGAAATTAACGACCGTGGGGATTCGTCGCGCTGACCACGCGACACCCTCTATCCGCTAAATTTGGCACTGACTTCGCCGACAAGCGGCGGTCGCTCAGTCGGTATAATTCGCTTGGGGACTAAAACCACGGATTTTTTTTTCCGTTTAATTGTCATCTCCCTTTCGTAAAACATACCCCATGCATCGGAGACCCTGTTTGTGGGATACTGATGTTTCATGCCTGTAAAAAGTCCACCACTTCCCCATATTTTATTATCATAATCATCGTTCTCTTTACTGTTAAGATCTAAAAGTTTGTGACGATGGTATATTGGTACAAGTATTATGTTTTTTAACATTATCCACCGTCTTGTCTGTTTTTTAAAATACCGTCCTGTTTCTGTTTTAAAACACAACGTTTCGGAGATTGGGGCTAGCTCCAGCTATTGGACCCAACTGAGTAGGTTTTACCTGAGGTCAGGGACAGAATCCAGTCTCCGAAACGCTATGTTTTGAAAGAGAAACAAGACGGGTTTTTAAAAAATATACAAAAACATAATGCTTGTAGATCTTTACTTTTGCTGGAAACTGGCGCGGTGTGACAGTTTTTTTTTTTGTGTTGAGCCGTATGATGATATGTTGTTGGTTATGGGTTTGTGTCTCGGTTGAAATGTGTTTTCTCTACTGCAGCTGGACGCCAAGTCTCGGGAGTGGCTGGTCTTCTCCTCGCAGGCGAACTACCAGGCCCTAGCCAAGCTTGCTGCCGGTAACCCTCGCCTTGCCAGATTCAAGGTAGGAACTTGTGCTTACCGCAGTAGTTGTTCGCATGTGTCCAGCCGCCGCTGTGTGTTGCTCGTGGAGGAGTGAAAGGAAAGATAATTACGAATTTTGTAGGCCACGCCCGCTTTTTTCTGCATTCTATCCAAGTTATAACTCACAAATCATTCTACTACACGAGGAATGCGTAACCCACGCAATTAAAATGTTGTCTTTATGGCTTCTTTTACATTACCAGTATCTCGGATTATGTGACGTAAAGTGGTAGAATGACAGTTGTATGGGACTCTTGTTGGAATCGTGGACTCAGCGCGACGCGATAATGCACGCGTTGCCAGTAAGCACTTCCCGCTGTGACGTAACAGCAGAGAAGCCAGTGGAAGCCGGCAGAAGCCAGCTGAGGGCTGAGCAAGGCAGTGATGTTGACAGAAGGCAGTGGCACCGACAGAGGGCAGTGTTTGTTGACAGAAGCCAGCTGAAGACCCACAGAACACAGAAGTGTTGACAGAAGCCAGTGGTTAGCCAGCACTGGCAGTTCGACATTGTAGTGGGAAGAGTTAACACGAAAGGACCTACCGTGAAACGACTTGTTCAACATTTTATGTTATAGTTACGTTTAATTGTCACGGCGTTGTGTAATAAATTGACGTCGCAAGAATACGCCCCTCGAGGTCTTATTTCACAACAACTCTATTGGTATGACCCCCAGAGTCGAGAGAGAGAAAAAATATTGACATGAGTACCGAGGGACTCGGAGCCAAGAACAACTGTGCTGGCGATGACCAGCAGTAACTTACTTTACCCGACCCGACTGATAAGTGATGAATTGAAAAGGACTTGAAAATAAGCTTGCGTAACCTCATCTAGCCCGACTTTAGCCTGGACGGACTAAGGAAAACGACGGAAACCTCAGTCAGGATGTTCGGTGTCCCGAGCCAGATTCGAACCGCCAACCTCGAGAATACAAGTCACAGGTTCACGAACCTGATCCGTGATTACTTTATTAAGTAAACCAGAATTATTCAATTAGTCGTAAATACGGTAGTACTGAAAACACAAGAAAGATATATATGTTCCTCGATATACGTTATGTACATACTACAAGGTATTCACATACACTTACGCAGATCCACATCAGCCCTCAAAATGGTTGCCGTTGGCCGCTATGCAAGTCTGCCAACATTGATATAGCTGCCGAAAACATTGCTGTAACATATTGGCAGTAAATTCCCGTACGGCGCTTTGCAGCCATTCCACGAACTTATTGACGGTGGTAGTATGCTGTTAATCCAGTAAAGTGACGGGGAACATGGGTTTGATTCCTGTCAGCTGCGGTTGAGGTGCTACGCTACAAGCCGGAAGGTCGCGGGTTCAAATCCCGATGAGGACATTGGATTTTTTTTCAGTTGACCTAATCCTTCCAGCCGCACTAGGCCCTGGGGTTTACTCAGCCTCTAACAGAAATGAGTACCAGGAATTAATTAAATATTTGTCCTGGGGAGTAAAGCGCGGCCGGCGCGTAAGGCTGACAACCTTACCGCCATCTTTGAGCCGATTGTCTATATAATGTGGGACCCTCAACGTCTCACAACCCTATGGGCCTTCACGGCCTGGTACAGGGATAGCTTTACTTTTTCTTTATTAGTGTACAGACAGGTCCTGAGCATAATCCAGCCTATTTTTTTAACTCGATTCCATGGGCTCATTTTCCGGAATGCAAAGCTGCCGATACATGTAGTTGACCACCCACTGTCATCTAGTTCCGGGGTTAAGAATGCTTCCAGCTGTATCAGACGTCTTCGTGGCGCGGTGAGTAAGCACCGGCTGGGGCGCTTTATCTAATGGGCAGAGCGGGCAGCGTTCTGGGGCCCCTCGGTTTTCGAACAGCGGTACCATGTGCTTAAACTTTCCCAAAATACAAGCGGAAAGACATTCCATTCGAATTTACTGCAAATGGCTAGTTCAGCTTTCGAGTTCCAGTCACATATCTCGGCAGTAAGCACACAACTGACGCACAGAATTGTTACTCTTGGAATTTCATGCTTACGGGTTGAATGTCAAAAATGTACAGTGGACTGCGGTGTTTCGAGAAATAATTGTAAACCAAGGTAATTTCTAGATAATGTGTTTTTAGCTTACTTTCCTTATTTTGAAAGAAAAATGAAAGTAGGCTTATGAGATCACCCTGATGTCTATGTCTTTGAATCCCCGCTGTCAACTTTTTAACGCCAGAACCAATCTCTGTGTAACTTCATATGTATATCACGGCACCTGAGCCCATCTCAACGGTATACTTCACAAATCCATCTCATCAGTCTGTGTGTATCTGTATGTGTAGCCCCCTGTCGTTGCTAGGCAACGGCTCAGTAAAAACATTTCCGCTGCAACGAATACATGCAACAGTAGAAGAATTATTGGACGCGTCGTTCTATATGCGGTCCTTGTCGTATCAGAGGAGAGTAGATTGTTATTTCTTCCCAGAGCTTCTTGTTAACTTTTCATATACTTTTCTTTTTAAAAATTTATGTACAGTTTATAGTGGTAACAACTGTACGGCCTTTTCTTAACAGAAACATTAAGAGAGGGGCCCCAAAGCCTGCCATCGATACATTTACATGTAGTGGGCAGCATTAAGCACAAGTGCATTGGCGCCGGCCACTTTTGGGTTTATCAAGCAGTCCACTGGCTCTTTGTTGCAGCATCTGAATGCTGCATTGAACCTGTAATCAGTTTCCACGAATTCAGAAACCGTTATCTCTAAATATATTGAAAGCACATAAGATTTTTAGACAATTTTCGGTTTAAGGCCTATTACAGGTATATAACATTTATAGTCTCTTGGAGCTTTTGACGCGAAATAATCACTTGATTATTTCCGGTCATAAACGCTGGATATCAGATTCTGTATTCGGACCGTATCCCGGGGGGAACCCCCATTTTTGTTTAAACCAATATTATTCTTTCATACAGACTCAAGAGATAGCCTAAATGCCTTGCCGAATTGAGTCTAAATTGAAGTTTACAGGACGTCCGGTGATTATTGTTGGATTTTAATTAGCCCAAAACAACCGAAACTGTTTTGAAGATTGCGGTTTAATGTAAAGACGAAGTTCCATTACGGCTTTTGGTTTTGGAGGGGTTATTAATTTCGTGTTCGTGACAGAGTAACTGGCACTGCACGTACGGAGTAGCTACCATTAACTCCGCAGTAGAAGACAGATCGCCCGCTGAATGGTTTTGCACCTGAACTTCAACAAGAGGATCCAACTTGAACAGTGAGAACGTCTACTTTTACGGAATACTTGCTGTTTGGACGAGAAATATGGATTGAGGTTAAGGTGTTAAGTTTTCTGTTAGCCTGGACGGCCGCAGTTCGATTTCCGACAGGAGCAGGATATTTTTCTGTATTCCACGGTATCCAGACTGGCTTTGGGTCCCACCCGGCCTCCTATCCATTGGGTACCTTGCGCTCTTTCCTCGATGGTAGAGCGGCCGGCGCGTGAAGTTGCTCATTCATCTCCATCTAATGCCGAAGTATGATGGAGCTATATATCAGTTTTCCAAGACATCTTCATGGCATGATCCTTAGTTAATTAAACACAGAGACCATGTTTCCTTACAGTAAATTACTCATTGGCTGTTACTCAGAGAGAAGAACGCAAGATGCAAATATCCGAGAACAAATTTCTAACGAAAATGTTTGGATCTGAGGTGAATTGGAGGAAACACCAAGCCATATCATCTGGACATGTAGACATATTGTTCTATCATTCCTCCAGAGGAGATGAGGCGAGGTAGTGGGAATCCCTCTGATCATAATTCCGAGATTCGAACCAGGTGCATCCAGGATACGCAGAGAATTTCTGTTCTTACATAAGGGAATATATGGTCAGGTGGAAATGGGGGAAGTTATGACGTGGCTCGCTTGAGGTAAACAAGAATTTATGCAGAGTGTTGCGATAACCTATCAGAAATTCTCCACTTGGAAGGCCGAGACAGAACTGTGAGGATACATTATAATAAAACGAATGACGTATATCATATTTGACGCGTTTTTGGCTTGGTCCCCATGCCCAGACCGGCTCTTATGCTCCTGGAGCGTGAACCGGACCGCTCACTCCCATCAAGTCAAAACTTTGTGAGGTAGAACTGGGATCTCGCTGCACCATGTACAGACGCGGAACTTGGGCACAAAGTCGACTTTGTTTGAGACAGTAGTTACTTTGGAATGATCTGGCGTTGAGCATGCAAGTTTGATATCGCAGACGTTGTGACTTCGACTTCCGACATTGCCACCAATCTCGCAATTCTAAGAGCAATAAAGATATCATGCAGTATAGTGAAACCCCGAAGACGTGAGTATGGAACGGAGCATCACACAGTGGGAATTGTCTGATATAATGACATGCCGAGGTTTTCCTGCAGTCCATTTTCATTGCGGGCCGTGAACATTTTGAAGGTCCTTGCGCGGAATTGTTAAGGATGTGAACATCTACGGCAAGAACATACCGAGTAAGTTTGTGTGGCGCTAACGTTCTAGACTTGTATTCGGGAGGTGCCTGTTTCGAATCTCGGCAAAGACGTCTGCCTACCTCAATTAGACCACAAAAGCTTCCTTCCAGATACTCTCCAATTCATTCACCTACCTACCGCTCGGCGCTACAGCTCTGGGTGAGCCTTGGCCTTCTCCACAACCAGTGCGTGCTGCCAGAGAAATGGCTCCACGCATGACGACACGAGGCAGGTTGTTAGGTTTCTGAACATTTTTTAACGGGATGAGGTTCTAGCCTCATGCCCAACCTCCTACCTGGAGGACTAGGGTATCTCTCTTAGTCTGGACACTACCCTCTGAACTTTCCGGCATGAGTGACCCTACTGGTAGTTAAACTACCGCCGGCATAGCTCTCCAGGTCACAGAGTCACGCATGCCCCACCACCAGGACAAGGTGGAGACACGTTCGGGGGGATTTCATTCATAAATCATCCTAAAATTTGAAGGGCCATTTTCTTGGCTA